TTAAGCTGAAGTATGATGAATTTTCTCATCCTTTCTGAATATGTGTGTGTGCTTTATATATTATACATATGTTATTCCGAACAGCGATGAATAAATGCTAGAGTAGCTCAGTGACAATGGGATGATGCAGAAGCAAAGAGAATGTTAAACTGTAGTAATCAGCATTTGGCAGTAGATTTGCCTCCATACTACAATCACTGTGGGTTATAAACAATTCCAGCTTGCTTGCTTTCATCACATACTAAGAGAACCTGGAACCAACTCTATAATTTTAAATGTTTAAAAGTAACTCACAAAATAGATCACCAATGGATAGCTAGAACTTAACTCAAAGAGGTTAATTGCAACATTTTGGGAACCTCTCAAAGTCAAAGTACACATCCTTAGGGATGTTACTTTGCTATTTCTACTTGTCACTAAAAGGTTTTTATATTTTCATAATTCACGGTACTTAAAGTGTCATTTCTAGCTCTGAAATTATTATGCACTAAAATATAATTTTAGTTTTAAAAGATCCATTACTTTGAAAACTTTTGATAATTCACAATCATTAGAAAGAATTTATTGAACATATGCAGGTAATTTTAATAGTGTCAGATATAATTTTAAAATTTCAGATTTTAACTACAGAATAAATTTAACTTTTCTATCACTTTATTTGGAACATTTGTTTCAACATATCTTAAGCTCTTTTATTTTTTTTTATTCTTCCTTTCTATCTGAAAGTAATTCATCTCAGAACACAAAATCATGTGACTAGTGACTACGTACTTTTCCAAAATACATTTAAATTCAAACACAACCCCTATATTATTAACATTAGTGTTGATACCTACATCAGTAACTTGATTGCAAAGACACACTAAAGTTCCTGGTAAAACTCTCCAACTACAATATATTGCATGCTCCTTGAGGTAGAATTACTATTTTAAAATTGTATCCACCACTGCAGTTCCATGGTAAGTACCCAATAAATATAGGCCAAATTAATAAATGGATGGATATATTTAAAATTATTAATAAAGTATCTATAATATTATTTTACTTGTGTGATTCCAAATATCCTGAGAGTGATTATTAAAGGGGTTCAGAACAGGCCTCCCCAAGATGTGCCTCCTTGGCATGTGGATCACTTTGAGCTGAAGGAACTGAGACCCTGAGGTTTCAAGAGAAACTTCTGCATCTCCAGTAAAGAATTTAAATAAGGGGCCTTGCCCATAATGAGAGTTATCACCAGAAATAACTTTTTATGACCTCCCTATAGTGCAGGGCAAACTTCTAACTGCTGAACTTCTGCACCTCTTGTCCTTCAAATGACCTTCCTCCCCTCTGAAGCCCCAAGGTGCCTTACCTCATCCTTAGCTCAGAATGTCATATACACCTCATTGTCCCTTTTTGTCTGAACCTCTCATGTATGTGGGATCTCTAACTCTTTCATGTATGCGGGGTTCCCATACATACTTGTATGTACATATGTAATTAAATTTTGCCATTTTCTCTTGTTAATCTACCTCATGTCTATTTGATTATTAGACCAACCGAAAGAATCCAGAGGGCAGAAGAAAGCCTCCTCCTCTCCCACATTATCATACTGGTTTTTGTGATTGATTATCTTGTAAACTAATGTTCAAGACTTAAAAGATACTTGGATGAACTGATAAAATGAGTAGAAAACTCTTTTTAAAGGCTATACTACCATAAAATCACAGATTTGTGAGGAAATTAGAGCTAATTGAGTACAACTTCTTACCTGATGAATCAGTCTAACACAGGTTTGAACACAGGACAACCATTAGAGTCCCAGGATACAGTTCTAGGAAATCCATATGATAATGAGATACTCGAAGTGTTATAAAGGTCTTCTCACAGAATAAACAATGCCTCTTTGTCTCTCCATCCTTTGGGTCAAAATTTTTATTTCGTTTTTTATGTTTCAACATCAAGTTAAGTATACCCCCGTTTCTAAATGAAAATACTTTAAGAATTTGAGGACAGTTAGGATTATTCAGAGTCTTCCCACCTTTCAGGTTAAATATTCCTTTATTTACATGGTATAGTTCCATCCCTTTCTTCAAGATGGTAGCCTTCCTTAAATATACACTTGGTATTTCAATCATCTCAAATGTAGAACTGAAAAGCAACACTCCAGACTTGTTCCCACCAGAGCAAAATACAATAATATTCTATTGAATCACATGAAATTGCCAACACTCAACCATTTCTGACCTACAAAAATGACAATTTCATGTAGCTCAACATAATAGCATTATCTTTCTTGATGCAAGCACTGCACATCCATCAATGAATCCTCAGATTACATTAGCTTTTTAGCAGCTGTGAAACACCACAGCTTCATATTTGGTTTGAGGCCAAGTAAATCCCGTAGGTCACTTTCCGATCAACTACTGAGCTTATACAATGAATTTTACAGAATCTACTTACCTGCCACTTACTAGTTGTGTTATGCTTATAAGTTTTTTGATATTTTAGAGTCCCAGTGTGTCCTTAATGAGGTAATGCTTACTATGTGCCAGACATTGTTATCAGTGGTTCATGTTTAATCCTCACAACAACCATAGGAGCTAGAATCATTATCATCATTCCCCACATTACAAAGGGGGAAACAAACACTGAGAGATCAAGTGCTACATTACTACATCAACTACTACATCATACTGACACTCAAAATAAGGAAACTGTCTTTATCAAATGGTTTTCGGGAATTTAATAATATATATATAGTGTATTTCATTTTGCTGCCCCTTTGCTTTATCCAGCAAATTCAATTAGCTGCTAAATGCAATGGATTTTAGCTACAAAATGCTTGTCTCTTGCATCTGGCATTTCATTTCTATACTTCTAGATCATTCTCTAGTTCATAACACCTTTAATTCCTTTGAAATTCTGTCTGCTGAAACTGCCTCTTAACTGGTATCTCGCCAGATTCATCTATGTGATTCTGGGTCCTAGTTCTCATTACTTTCTCAATTTCTACTTTGCTTTTATATCATCTTTGAGTATTATTCCCTCTTACTAATACAAAAGAAAAAATAAACATGTAAAACACTGTTTTCTTTTTTTATTTTAAAATTATGCCATTTTCCCTAAATAGTAGGCCTTCCTCTCCTATATGTCAGAGTCAAGCTTAAGAAAATAACTATAAAGCCCCAAAGATCAGTTTTTAGAATTTCCTTCCATTAATAAAACCAGAATGTAAAAGTTGGGATCAGATGAAGATCTTGCAAAGGAAGTCTAATAGCAGGGGCTTTCGAGGCAGATGACCTGGGTGAAATCTCCGCTCTGTTTTTAACAACTGGGTAACTTTGGTCAAGTCACTTAAGCTTTCTGTGCTTCGGTTTCCGCATGTAAAAACATCTACCTCTTAGGGTTGTTGTGCAAGCTAAATTAGTCAATATATCCAAAGGGCTCAGAACATTAGTTAGTCATTATTATTACAAAAGATCTTACAATTTAAGTAAGAAATTTATATCTCATCACTTGGGCAATAGGAAAGCCTCATCAAGGGGGAATTACATTGGTCCAGATGCCTGCTCCTATACCTTCTGGATTCTTAGCTCAGTCCCTTTATTGGTCCCTCAGGTAATGTTATTTTCTGAACCCTCCCGGTAAACGCTCAGCCCTCTCTAGCCTGGCCTATGCTCAGTTAGTAGTTCCACTGGATTGTCTCAGGCCTTTGAAAGGGAACTGTAGAGTGAATAATAAAAGAAAAACATAATCTTTTAGGAAAATAATCAAAGGAGTAATTAGAGATATAAGAGAGAGGGGCATAGACTCATCGGAAGACAAAAGATAACATGGGTCTGAATAAAAGAGGTAGCTCATCTGAGATTTTTTTTTAATGAAAGAGAACTTATAACATTGGATAACTGATTAAATAAGGAAGATGTAGGAAAGAAAGTCAGGGATGGCTGCAAAAACTGCAGTTTGATGTTTTGACTGGTAATATTATTGGGTTGTTGGAAAAGTTATGACGTATTTTTTCTGTTTTTCATTGTAAAAATGCATCATGACTTTTCCGACAACCCTATATTTGGAGCAAAGAAGTAGGCACAGTGAGCTTATATTTGGTTATGTAGAGTCTGACATAAATATCGAATAACCATATGGAAATGTGCAGAAAGAATTAGATAAAAGACGCTGGTGCTCAGTATCTCATGTACCCATTACCAGTAGGGACAATTTTGAATTGACTTATTGTCTCAGTTTTGAGAATAAATTACAATGATCTATTCTTTAACCCTCTATCTCACAATCAAGGCACATTGGTAAAACGGCTGGTTGCAAAGCAGTCTGTGGCAACAAATAGCACGAATCTCACTGGAGAAATCTCACCAGAGGCTGTAACCTCATTAAAACAATGCACTAACTTCTTGAGGTCACCAGCAACTACAAGCAGATGGAAATACCTTTTATTTTAACATGTTTTATTCCCCTCCAGCATGCATCCTTCCATTTGCACATAGATATACTCTATAAAATGAATTAAGAAAAATAGTAATTCTGCCTCCTTTACTTTTGTTTCACTAAACAAGTATATTTGTATTAGGAAACCGAGTTTCTTGTTTATTTTCAAATAATAAATTACTAACTGGCAAAAAGCAGGTGATGGTTGATATCACACACCACGCTCGTAAAACCCTTTAATACGATATTTTATAAAATCAGCAGCTGACCTCTAAAAGTGAGACTAAGTCCACAGACTTCAATTACATAAGGATTGCAACACATTAAATTTACTTTTGACTGAGGAAAATACAAGTTTCAAGAATATTCCACAGGAAGGTCATAAATCAGCCAAACATTCAGAATTATTAAAAATAAAACACAAAGGTTACTTTCATAAAATGAAGAAGAAATTCAGTCTTTGGGTTTAAAAGGCTTAAAATAACTAAAAATAGGAAAACTCTCATCTTCATCAAATTGTAACTTATACCATATCTTCCAGCACATGTGATTTTTTTAAAAAAATTAATCCTTACCTCTCTCCATTCTTTATTTCCAATTCCTTGTACATATAAGACACAAACTATAAAAGATGAAAATATATATGTCATTTATAAACATCAGACATGAACATGTATAATTTGTTTTTCAACTGTCCAAAATAAAAACATCAAAATTAATTCCTAATCCCTAGCTTCACTCTTGTAAGAAAATTACTAGTAAATTATCAGATGATTAAAATATTTGGTAAATAAAAAATAAACAATATCAGATCTTTAGAACTTAATATATAGTAGAGCTTGGCACATAAAAAGTATAATAATAATTTACTAATGTCTTATACATTATGCTACAGATACGGATACATTTTAAATCTACAGTTTAACAGTTTGAAATATTTCAGTATGTTACTAGAAGCTTTTCCTAAATACCTACTGTGCTCAAAGCCTACATAGGAAGGTCAACCTAGAGAAAAATCATACTCTATATTTAATTTCTGCAACTCCAACCCCTCAATATAGGATTACGTCATTTTGTTGCACTTTGTAGATATATTGTTTTTTACAAATAGAAGGTGTTGTGGCAACCCTGTGTTGAGCAAGTCTGTGGGCACCATTTATCCAATAGCATTTGCTCACTTCATGTCTCTGTGTCACATTTTGGTAATTCTCTCAATATTTCAAATATTTTCATTATTATTATATTTGCTATAGCAATCTGTGGTCAGTGATCTTTGATGCTAGATACTATTATAATTGTTTGGGGGTGCCAATATAAGATGGTAAACTTAACTGATAAATGTTGTATGTGTTCTGACTACTCCACTGACTGACCATTCCTGAATCTCCCACCCTCTCCTCAGACCTCCCTATTCCCTGAGACACAGCAGTATTGAAATGAGGCCAGTTAATAACCCTACAATGGCCTCTAAGTTTTCAAGTGAAAGGAAGAGTTGTAAGTCTCTCATTTTTAATTAAAAGCTAGAAATGATTAAGTTTAGTGAGGAAGGCATCTTGAAAGTCAAGACAGGCTGAAAGCTGAGCCTCTTGTGCTAGTTAGACAAATTGTGAATGCAAAGAAAAGTTCTTGAAGGAAATTAAAAGTACTACTCCAGGGCCGGCCTAGTGGCGCGATGGTTAGGAACTGGCTTGGGACGCCAGAGGGCCCTGGTTCGGATCCCACATATGAGGGCCAGTGACACTGCCCTCCACAGCTAAGATGCTGAACAAGAGCTCAACCTGGAGCTGGGTTGCTGTGAGTTGCTGGCGACGGCGTAGGCTGCAGCCCCTGCTGCAGTGGATTGCCATGGGCTACCGTGTGTAGCCAGCAGCCAGCGTGAGCGGCCAGCAGCTACAGTGAGCAGCCGTCCAGAAGCCAGTGACTGATCTGCCTCGCCAGGGAAGAGCACAATGATGGTGCCAACTTGGGCCAGTGAAGCAACATCCTCCACAACTAGACTGAAGAACAAAAGGATAGCAACTTATCTGTTCCCCTTCCCCCAATTCCCCAATAAAAATCTTTAAAAAAAAAAAAAAGTACTACTCCAGTGAACACATAAATGATAAGAAAGTGTCTTATTGCTGCTATGGAGAAAGTCTTAGTGGTCTGGAGAGAAGATCAAACCAGCCACAACATCCCCTTAAGCCAAAGCCTAATCCAGAGCAAGGCCCTAACTCTCTTCAATTCACTGAAGGCTGAGGGAGATGAAGAAGTTGCAGAAGAAAAGTGTGAAGCTAGCAGGGGTTGGTACATGAGGTTTAAGGGAAGAAGCTGTCTCCATAACATAAAAGTGCAAGGTGAAGCAGCAAGTGCTGATGTAGAAGCTGCAGTGAGTTATCCAGAAGATCTAGCTAAGATCATTAACATGGCTAAACAACAGATTTTCAATGTAGATGAAACAGCCTAATATTGGAAGAAGATGCACTTAGGACTTTCATACCTAAAAAGAAGTCAATTCCTGAATTCAAAGCTTGAAAGCACAGGCTGACTCTCTTGCTGGGGCTAATGCAGCCGGTAACTTTCAGTTAAAGCCAATGTTCATTTACTATCCTGAAAATCCTAGGGCCCTTAAGAATTATGCTAAATCTACTCTGCCTGTGCTCTATAAATGGAACAACAAAGCCCAGATGACAGCACACATATATACATCATGGTTTACTGAATATTTTAAGCTCACCATTAAGACCTACTGCTCAGAAGAAAAGATTCCTTTCACAGTATTACCACTCATTGACAATGCACCTGGTTACCCAAGAGCTCTAATGGAAATGCACAACAAGATTAAGTTGTTTTCATGCCTGCTAATACGAAATCCACTCTGCAGCTCATCAGTCAAGGAGAAACTTTGAGTTTTGAGTCTTATTAATTAAGAACTACATTTCATAAGGCTATAGCTGCCATAGATTTTGATTCTTCTAATGAATCTGGGCAAATTACACTGAAAACCTTCTGGAAAGGATTCACCATTCTAGATGACATGAAGAACATTTGTGATTCGTGAGAACAGGTCAACATATCAACATTAACAGGAGTTTGGAAGAAGTGGATTCCAAACCTCATAGATGAGTTTGAGGGGTTCAAGACTTCAGTGCAGGAAGTAACTACAGATGTGGTAGAAATAGCAAGAGAACTAGAATTAGAAGTGGAGTCTGAAGATGTGACTAAATTGCTATAATCTCGTGATAAAACTAATGGATGAGGAGCTGCTTCTTATTGATAAGCAAAGAAAAGTGATTTCTTAAGATGGGATCTACCCATGGTGAAGATACTGTGAAGACTGGTGAGATGACAACAAAGGACTTAGAACACTACATAAACTTAGCTGATAAAGCAGCAGCAGGGTTTGAAAGGACTGACTCCAATTTTGAAAGAAGTACTGCTGTGGGTAAAATGCTACCAAACAGCATCACATGCTACAGAGAACTGGTTCATGAAAGGAAGAGTCAATCAATATGACAAACTTCACCCTTGTTGTCTTATTTTAAGAAATTGCCACAGCCACCCTAACCTTCAGCAACCATCATTCTGATCAGTCAGCAGCCATCAACACTGAGGCAGGACCCTCAACCAGCAAAAAGATTACTACTGACTGAAAGTGCAGATGACAGCCAGCAATAAAGTATTTTTTAATTAAGGTATGAACTTTTTAGACATAGTGGTATTGCACACTTAATAGGCTATAGTATAGTGTAAACATAATTTTTATATGCACTGGGAAAACAAAATAATCTGTGTGATTCTCTTTATTGCGATATTTGCTTTATTGTGGTGGCCTGTAACAGAACCCACAATATCTCCAAGGTATACCTATATCTATAAACAGGTAAGAAATCTTGACAACCACAAAGGGAAGTTGCAAAAGGAAGGTTAAGTGTTTAGGGTAAAGATTGGAGATTAAAAAAAAAGTCTCACCCATTTGTCAAATGAGCCCTAGGAATTTTTAATACCCATAAATTATAATGCCATTTCCCAATGACTACCTCAAGAATTCTAACATATGATAAAAACCTTACCTTATAATTAAACCACATTTTTTCACATATTTGTAGAGAAGGAGAGCTGCTAGATACCAATTTCTGAATGTTACAAGATTTGTAAACACTAGCTGATTTATACATTAATTCTCCTGTTGTCTAATTCAAACAATCTTTTTTTATTTTTAAATTACCTCTAATTTTCAAATCTCTAATTAAAAATAAGAAAATTCAGCTCACAAAAGATGTTATATATTTTATTTGGTTGTATATGCCTTTATATGCTGCTTTTATTTACCAAAAAAAGGACAAGTATTACTCAGTGACTAAATCATGGTCCATTATGTCTGTCTTTCAAATATAATTTCTACCTTATGACCACAACCATGAGGTTGTAATTTCAAAGTTGAACTGTCCTATATTGGGGTCATCTGCATTTCCATCTTATTTTTAAAATGCTAAGCAACACCCTCTTTAGCTAGAGCACTGCCCAGGGAGATGAGTAGGCAAAGGCTTGAGATCATCCCCTTTCTTGTTTTCTTGGCTTTAAAACAATTATTTAAACAAGAATATGAGCTTCATACAATTTTTGCAAAAGTAAAATAAGCAGACTGTTTCAAAAGCAATTTAATAGACACTTACTTGGGTCAGATTTAGAAAAGGTGTCTCTGTCAAGAAGATTTCTGTTGAATAAAACAGAAAATGTTAGATGAATATAAGACCAAAATATTTATATAAATATATACATACATAAGTGTGTATATATTCAATGTAGTGTGTGTGTGTATATATATATATACACATACATACATATATACATATATATGTATACACATACATAAACATATACATATGTGTATATGCATATGTCTGTGTGTGTGTGTGTGTGTGTGTGTGTGTGTGTATACAGCCAAAAAATACATATGTATAGTACCAAAAACATGTATACACATTTTAAGGAAGGAAAACTACTAAAATTGTAACACTCAATATATACCGATAACGAAAGATGAGTACAAGTCACATTTGACTTCTACAATTACAAGAGGTGCTCAAAGTGGTTACTATCAGTATCCAGACACTTCTGATTATGGTGAACTACTGCTGGAGAAACATTGACCAAAGTGTCCACTCGTATACATTTTTTTGGCACCCCTGGTGTGTGTGTGTGTGTGTGTGTGTGTGTGTGTGTGTGTGTGTGTA